CATGTTTTCCTTGCTTAGGCCTGCAGCTACAAGGCACAGTCTGGTCGCAGGTCCAGCTTGGACCCCTGGCTATTCTGGGAGAAACTGAACCCTCCAGCCTTCTTGTTTTCCCTCTTGAACTCTGCATCTGATAAATAAATTAAAGACGTAGGCGAGGCCTATCCTTCGCAGCTACTTTGATGCCACGTGGCCCTGTGAGACTTGGGAGGACCAGGAAAGACATCAGGGATAGAGCCTATGTTTGATTTCAGAACACTTTTCAGTAACTTAAAACCTTAAAGACATGTTCTGTTTCATAAAATGTCTGAGTCATTTGAAAATGTAATACTTTGGCTGTTTAAATTTGGGGGAAACACAGTTTTCAACAAAAAAGTAAAATTTTTTGCCTTTTAAATCTTCTAATTACCAGTTTAGCCAAGTAAATAAGTAACTTTAGAGTAAATCATGATCCTGTTTTGTGAAAAGGTTTTTTGGGGGGGTAAAAAAAGAAAATAACATTGTGTTAAAAAAAAGACCTTGTGTGATAAATTTTGCCCTAAAACAAAATGGTTATTTAAGAAAGTTAAAAAGAAGGACAAAACAGAAAATTTAACATGTTTGTAGGTTGTCTGAGTAGGTTAAATAGAACTCATAAAAGGAAATTTGTTAAGGAATTTACGAGTAATCCAGCTGACTATGATTTGTACAGTTACCTATTTCCCTTTAGTTTAAAAATCACCCTAAGAAGCTTTTTTTTTTTTTTTTACCTTTACAATAACTAGTCTGAGAGAAATAATCCCTGTGTTGTCTGTTTTCAGGTTTTGGCTAAGTAAAGAAGACTGAATTTTAAAAGGGTGAAAGTTTATGCCCATTTAACCTCCTACATTGCCTTTAAAATCTTTTAACTTGTGATCCTATTTGAACAAATGTTTTAAGCCTTTGATATTTGACAAACCTTCTAAAATCAAAAATCTAAATTCAGTCTTTTTGAAGTTTTAAGGCCCACTGGAAATCTGAAAAAGACATATTAGACTTATTTAGTGTGTTAAAACTACACAGGAAATATTGTCAAATGTAAAATGGTGGTTAATTTTCTGTAGATTATGTTTATATATATACACATATGCTCTAAAATTATCAAATATTAATCTTAGTATATGTTATCAACAATAAGTTTTGATTCATCTCAGAAAGTGGTTTTGATACTGGCTAAGTCCGAAGTCCATCCTTCAAGGAAAGTAATAGAATGTTTGACAGGTTCTCTTAAATACAAATTTCTGATAACTTTAGAGATCATATACCATTAGACTAAAAAACTTCTAGGACTTTAATTAAAAAGCCAAAACAGAACATAAATTAATTATATGGACTAAACTAATTTTTTATGTTTAAAACATTACTGATTCTTTTTTATGTTCTGTTTTCCAGAACACTGAGTTGTGCTGATGATTATTTAAAATAAGCGTTATTATGATCTTTCCTTTAAAAAGATTGATTTAAAAAATTAACTTTTCAATTAGAAATTTTATAATAAATTGTCACTGAGTTACACAGATTATTATTTAAAACAAGAGTTATTATGGTCTTTACTGTAAATCATTATATAGAAAACTATAATTTTAAAAATGGAAGAACAGAACAGTATTAAAAAGACTCTCACTGCTCTCCAGAATTGCCAGTCTCCTGCCAAATAAAGTTTGGTGGACCAATCCCTGTCTCTGTATATTGCGTGACAGTGACAGGCGGCAGGAACCTCTTGGTCTGGTAACATTTCCTTTCATGCTTATCATGGCAGCTGTAGGGCATCTTCAAGTTCATGTCACCACAACACCAAATCCAGGTTAGTCCCCACGTCCCCACCCCAGGTTATGGTGTTCCAGTCACTGCCTGAAAACTCTGGGTTCCAGACCAGCCTCTGCTTCACCCACCCTAGGCCTGCAAGCATCACAGGATGACCTTGGGAGAGGACTGCGGGCAGAATTTAAGTCCTGGTTGGGGCACTGGGCCAGGCTGTGGATATAGTTTCATTCCTAACTTTTATACTTCATGCACATGGCATGTAAGCTGCCTTTTGGATTCTTACCCTGAGTCTTTCAAATGTTGGGGCAGGCCTGACATGGGCAATGCTATGAAATCTGATCTTTAACCTGAGAGCAAGAGGGGGACATTTGAAGATGAGAGGGATGTAAGGTTGGAAATAACCATTCCTTCCATTTCAAAAAGTTGCCATAATTTGAATCTCTGAAACAAACTGGCAGTAGACAGATCAACAGGAGAAAAGCCTGCAAATCTATTATGTACACAAATGCACGGGAATGCAATATGACACTTCAGATGCGGGCGTTTTTTATGCCATTCAGAAAGGAATAGGTACTGGAGGGCTTCTGAAGGTGGTTAGCTGTGGGAGGGTGAGGATAAGGACTGTACAATGAACAGAGCCTGTCTTATTATGCAGATAAAGTCTCCCAGGTAGCAACCCCCTGAAGGATGTATGGGAGCCTGTGATGATCTCTGGGGAGAAGGTTGATAGAATCTTTCCTAGGTCCATCCTCAGGCTGATGGCGGCCCCAGAAAAAACTTCTACTGGCACTTGTTTACTTTAGTAATGTAGATGTAAATTTCTTTTACGAAAGAACAGCTTTTGAGAGCTATTTTTGTGTCTGCAGTTTCTCTAAATAGCCATTTTAAAATCAGCCAAAGAAGTACATTTTGGGGGTGGCATATTCTGGTGTGCCACGGGCACACGATCAGATTCAGATTTTGTGACATCGCTTTACTGTTGCGTCATTTTTTTTTTTTTTTGAGACAGAGCCTCAAGCTATCACCCTGGGTAGAGTGCCATGGCTTCACTGCTCACAGCAACCTCCAACTCCTGGGCTCAAGTGAGTCTCCTGCCTCAGCCTCCCAAGTAGCTGGGACCACAGGCGCCCGCCACAACGCCCGGCTATTTTTTGGTTGCAGCCATTATTGTTGTTTGGCGGGTCTGGGCTGGATTCGAACCCACCACCTAGGTTATGTGGCATCTTAACCGCTTGAGCCACAGGCGCCGAGCCTACTGTCGCGTCATTTACCTGAAATCAGTTGCATATATGTCATGTATATACTTGATAAATTTGAACACATCAGGGGAACCATGATCACAATCAAGAAAATGGAGAAAGTGCAAAGAAGTTTTGCAAAACAAATACCCAACAAGTGATTTTAGCTGGAATACATGAAGGACACTTATAATTCAATAGTAAGAAGACAACCCAGTCTAAGACGGGGCAGAGTTGAATAGTCACTTCACTAAGGAAGACATACCCTTACAGTAATTCGAAATAAAAAATGGCAGAGAAGCACAGGAAAAGCTGCTCCAGTTCATGGGTCACGAGGGAGATGCAGATTTGTATTTGGAAAGATCCCGCAGGGCTCTGGCATAGTTAAAGGCTTGGAGATCTGCAGCGGCTGCAGGCAGTGCTGATAGGCCACTATTGTCATAAAACTATTAATAGTAAAACCCAGTAGCTACCTGAATGGTGGTTGTGGAGATGGCAGATTAGAAAAACATTCAAGAAATAAAACAGACAGGCCATGACACTGAGTTTGACTTTAGCTGGTGAAGTATTAGAAATGATTCTAAGCTTTCTGGCTTGTGCAGTTGCGTATGTGATGGGGCCGTTCACAAATACAGTGAAAACTGGAAGACCAGGCGGGGAGAAAGAAGACTGTTTATGTTCAACAAGTACCTTTGAGACACCGACACCAAAGCGCGAAGCTGCCAGTTATTGTTAAGATGCTTCCTGAGCTTTGTTGGATTTGACGGGGACAGAAGCAGTCTGTGTCCATCACATCCACTGGGCTGTGTTTAAATGGGACGGGAGAGAGAAGAGCAGGAATTGCCAGGTCGGATTTCCCAGCTGTGACTCCCACAGATGGGGCAGCTGCTTTTCCTCTATACTAACAGAGCGGGAAGACGCTCTGGGTGAAAGTGCATTGTAGAGGGGTTAAATACTCTAACTACTCTAGTCAGAAGCCTCCAGGGATGTTGCCATTCTGATTCCCAGTGCCTCTCTAATTCCTGCCCTCCTCCATCTCTAACTCCCAGCATGTATGTGGACTGTATTTATGTAGATGTGGCCTTAGGAAATCCAAGGGTCCTACAGTGCAGGCCATTTAAAATCTTACTAAACAATCATCTGTCTAGCTTTTCCACATGGATTCTACAAGCTGTTAAAGAAGGGGGAAGAAAGAGCATTCTTCTCTTTGTTTGTGCACCTCATTAGTAAATCCTAACCATGCTCTTCCTTAGGTCCCTTTCCAACTCAGTCTGGTTCTCACATTCTTAGAAGGGACAATGGGATCTTTAAATTCACTCAGTTTGTCTAGGGAAGGGGCCAAAATTATTCAGCCTCCCATTGACAGTCAGATCAGCCTTTCAAACAGCACATCCAGGGAGGCCTTTTCCACCTCCTCCCTGTCCTCTTCTTCCAGTTTGGCATATTCTAGCCTGCGTTTTGCTCTCCTTGTAAATATGAGAGAAAATAAAATACACTGCTCAGTCTCCTTTGTCTCAGAAGCCTGGCATTGCCGTAGCTTTCTTTAAGGGGGTCCTCATTTGTAACCGGCTTTGCCATTAACGGAAATCAATCTGAATGTCCTATTATGCATCGTTTTTCTTCCTTCACAGTCTGAGATTTCCTCTGCCAAGTTTTTTCTCCCTGAACCTGAAAGACCCTCTCTCATTTTTCCGTTCCCTGCCTCCAGCCCCATTGAATCCCTGCAGAGCTTTCTCAGGCATAAATAAGGGCTGCTGTGTGAGGATTGGGAGGAGCTCGACCTACTCTGCTAACCCAGTGGCCTGAGCCAATCACAGAGAGGATTGGGGCCTTCCCGGAGCCCCCCTGCCCCCGCCCTCCCTCTGACAGCCTCCTGGAAAGAGGGGCATTGGTGAGATGGTGTGTTTACAATTCACATCATTGGCTTTTTGCCTGACCTCCTTCCAAATAAGAAGGCAGGAGCTGCTGTCGAGGTGCAAAGGGTCTTCTGGACTGTTGTGGCTCTAAGACCAGATCTTGGCTCTTGTCTCCAAAGGGGGGAAAGGCAAGGATGGTGGAGGCTTTCTGTGCTACCTGGAAGCTGACGGACAGCCAGAACTTTGATGAGTACATGAAGGCTCTAGGTACGTAACAATAAGATTCACTGTTCTCTTCTTAATCTGCACCTTCAGATTCGTGAAGATTCCTTTCTTTACCCATTAGGTCAGCCAGAGACAAAGAGAGATTATTATATTATCCTAATAAGACGCCAGGCTATGCATTTTCTGCTGAATGGAGGTTTAACAAGGCATTTGCCTGCATTTTTGTCCAGGACCAAATATTGGAGTGTTTATATTCTGTGAGAATTTGAAGTTTCGGTGACTCTTTTATTTTTTTCTGCATCCACTTATTATTTGAGCTCAGGAGTTGCATCTCATGACCCATGGGCTAATTGTGCTCTAATGAAACTTGCGGTTTAGAATGCGGATTCCAGGATCAGCAAGCAGATGGCTGGCTTTGCGGACTCTTAGAAATTGCTGCTGATTGCGCTGTTGCTCTTTGCTACTTTAGGTGTGGGCTTTGCCACCAGGCAGGTGGGAAATGTGACCAAACCAACAGTGATCATCAGTCAGGAAGGCGACAAAGTGGTGATCAGGACTCAAAGCACATTCAAGAACACAGAGATTAGTTTCCATCTGGGAGAAGAGTTTGATGAAACCACCGCAGACGACAGAAACTGTAAGGTGAGAAGCTGTTTCTTTCCAGGCATGAGGTTGGGGAGGCAGGAATAAAGGATGGAGATTTTCAGTAGGTGTTGGGAAGTGGTGAATGTTTTCAGTATTTCAATTCAGGGAGGACACCACAGTCAATTTAGCATTCTAGTGAGCGTATGTGTTTGTAATGTGCTGAGCGAAGGAGACTCCTTGTGTAGCTCAAACCGTGATTGTATTTGTTGCTTACGGTATATTTTTTCACACTTTGTATCAAACGTATCTTTCAGAAAGTATTTCATAATGTTTGCTTCAAAGAAAGATTGTACTTTAACACCTCTGGTTGTGTCAGATCGACTAACTAGACAGTTTGCCTCTGGCTTTGTTTAAACCAGAGAAGTGAGCAGTCAGAAAGGACTAGTTTAGGATTTTTATTTATAATATAGGAATTTTGCATGTAGCTATACACATTTCAATCAAATTCTGAATTATCAGAATTTACATAATAAATCCAGAAGTCATAGAAGATGTGGTCTCATAGGATAATTAGTTGGTCATATTTTATTCAATTATACAACTCTGTCAAAAGTCATGTTATTTGTTTTTGATATCAGAAGTCTGGCTAGTACTTATTCTGAATTTTCTTGTTGGTCTCAGTCTGTTGTTAGCCTGGATGGAGACAAACTTGTTCATGTACAGAAATGGGATGGCAAAGAAACAAATTTTGTAAGAGAAATTAAGGACGGCAAAATGGTTATGGTAAGTAATGACATTTCTCCGTTCTTTCCTGCTTTTTACCCCTCTTCAACCCTTCCTAAAGCCTTCTGTTTTGCTCCCTCCCTCCCTCCCCCTCCTTCTCTTCCGTCTCTCCTTCTCCTCCCTCGCCCTCCCCCCTTCTCTCCCTCCCTACTTCTCCTCCTCCCCTTCTCCCTCCCTCCTTTTCTCCCTCCCTCTTTCTCCCTCCTCCTTCTTTCTTTCCCCTCCCTTCCTCTCTCCCTTGCTTCCTCCTTTCTTTTTTCTCTTCTTTTTTCCCTCCTTCTTTAACAACATGTCATTAGCAAGGCTCTTTAAAAAGCATGTGTAGGCTGGGCACGGTGGCTCACGTGTGTAACCCTAGCACTCCATGAGGCCAGGGCAGGTGGATTGCCTGAGCTCACAGGTTCAAGACTAGCCTGAGCCAGAGTAAGACTTTACCCCTAAAATAGCCAGGTGTTGTGGGGGTACCAGCTACTTGGGAGGCTGAGTCAAGAGAACCACTTTAGCCCAAGAGTTTGAGGCTGTTGTAAGCTATGATGCCATGCTACGCTACTGACGGCAACAAAGTGAGACTCTATCTCAAAAAAAAAAAAGTATAAAAACAGAATAAAAAGATCCTAGTTAATTGTTTTCCTCAGTTCAACTTCTTTGCAAAAAAAAGAAAGATTCTTAGTGTAGCTTTTAAAAATTTATTTGTTTTTGTTTTTTCATTTTCTGAGACAGATTCTCACTTTACAGATAGAGTGCTCTGACTTTGCAGCTCACAGCAGCCTCGAACTCTTAAACTTAAACATCCTCTTGTCTCCCAAGTAGCTGGGACTACAGGTACTGCCCCAACACACAGTTGCTTTTTTTTTGCAGTTTTGGCCAGGGCCGGGCTTGAACCTGCCACCCCGGTATCTGGGCCCAGCGCCCTACTCCTTGAGCCACAGGCAACACCCACACCCAGCTGTTTTTAGAGATGGGGTCTCATTCTTGCTCCAGCTGGTATTCTAGTTTTTAAAACAAGCTGCCATTGATTTACTTAAAACTGTGTCAAAAGAAGAATTTTTGTAGCATAACTGCAAATGTCTAGCATTCAAATTAAATTTAAATATAAAGCCAATAGTCCTTAAATTATATAAAGATGATTGCTACTATTGAACATTAAGCTTACTGAATCATAAAAAAATTCCATAGATACTATAATAAGTGAAAGATCTTTAAACCATTTACATTTTGGTTTATGAGAATTACACAAGTTTGGTGCAGATAATTTATAATATAATAAAAAAGTATAGCAAAAAAACCCCTTTAATTTCTTATCAGAGAGAACCATCTTAATATTACTTTTTCCCAGTCTTTTTGTTGCATACCTAAGATGCCTTTAAAATATATATATTTCATACTAGGGAAACATGTAAAAATTATAAAATAATTTACAATCAATTTCTCTAATGATGGAGGGGTATCACAAACTGGAGAGTCATGCCTTGACCAAGCCTTCCTCAGACACTTTTTAAGCAACTGACTAATGGTATTTTAATAATATTGATAGTCAAGTAGGCTTATTCATTCATTCATGGGGTGGTAGATTACTTTACCTATTCTGCAGACAAGACTTAGTTGTTATTTAAGAAAATCAACTATTGTTTCTTTTTCCTTGCATAGTTTCCTTGACTGTTGCAATCAGAGCTATTCTAGACTGAGGCACTCAGGCTCCTGTGGAAGTGAGGTGGAGAGCCAAGGGATAGTTTCCCTTTCATGCTACTTGATATTCGCCCACCTTTTTCTTCAATAATCAACACAAGAAATAATTCATTTCTAACACATTCAATCTGAAGTTCTCCTTTACACTTTTACCTACATTTTCTTTTTTTTCTTGAATACAGAAAATAGCTCAACTGTGGCCTGACTAGGTCAGACGATTAAGTTCATAAACTTCTCCGAGGAAATGTGCTACATAGCTCATTGCTGAGTATCACCATGGTCACCTTCAAGTTCAACTTGTGATTGAAGTAACAGAGTTGACGTTCCACATCTGACTCACCTACCCCCTGGGTTCACGTGGGGGAAAACGTGATAGCCAAAGCAATGAAAATACTTATACATTTATGTCTTCCTGTTGATTTTAGAGCAAGTTGTCGTAAGTCCCATTAGCTCAAAAGATTCAATTTTCTAAAGACTACTCAAAATTTATCTCTAATATGAAGTGAAATCTTATTTGAAAGTCTGTTTTATAAACTTCATTCACTTTCAAAGCAGATAGCTGAGGCAACAATGTAGATACTTCCTTCCTCACACCAATTTGCTCAATTACCTGATAATTTAAGACTAAAAATCTTGACTTGGCACCTGTGGCTTAAGCGGCTAAGGCGCCAGCCACATACACCTAAGGTGGCGGGTTCGAATCCCCAGCCCGGGCCTGCCAAACAACAATGAACAATGATAGCTGCAACCAAAAAATGGCCAGGAGTTGTGGTGGGCGCCTGTAGTCCCAGCTACTTGGGAGGCGGAGGCAGGAGACTCGCTTGAGCCCAGGAGTTGGAGGTTGCTATGAGCTGTGATGCTATGGCACTCTACCCAGAGGGATAGCTTGAGGCTCCGTCTCAAAAAAAAAAAAAAAAAAAAAGACTAAATATCTTTTGATGTCAATCTAGATTGTTTATTTCAGTTTTGGCTTCATTCTTATTTTAGAGACATGAACTACTCTATCATATTATTGATCAAAAAAATATGAGTTTCTTTTAAAAAAAAAAATAAGAGCCTTTGCAGTATTGAAATTTTTTTTTTTTTTTTTTTTTGAGACAGAGTCTCAAGCTATAGCCCTGGGTAGAGTGCTGTGACATCACAACTCACAGCAACCTCAAACTCTTGGGCTTAAGAGAGATCTCTTGCCTCAGCCTCCCAAGTAGCTGGAACTACAGGTGCCTGCCACAGTGCCCAGCTATTTTTTGTTTGTAGTTGTCGTTGTTTGGCAGGCCTGGCCTGGATTCCAACCTGCCAGCTCCGGCGTATGTGGCTGGTGCCCAAGCCACTGAGCTATGGGTGGTGCCGATCCAAGGCTATGCTGTATTTAATGGCTCTAAAAGTCATCTTTTACATCAGATTTAGATCATACATGAAATAATCTTTAAAATTCAGCTACCAGTGTTCCTTTGTAAAAAGACTTAATTATCTTTTGAATCTTTCAGACTCTTACTTTTGGTGATGTGGTTGCTGTCCGCCACTACGAGAAGGCGTAGAGAACTTCCTGGTATGGGGATGGAGAGCTCTTCAGTTGTCCTGTTTACTCAAGTATCAGCTCTATTGTGCTGTTATAGCACAGCTAATCACTCATTAGAAGGTAATCCTAAGTGCAGAGGTGGAAAATAGTGATTTAAGAACTTGTTACTCCAAGTAACTAGCCCAATTTTAATTTGCAAAATCATCATTTTATATTTCACTTTAAAAATGTGTCACCTTTTTTATAGAAATTGAACTGAATACATTTTGTAATATTTTTGGAATGCAAATCAAATTGGAATAAAAATCTTACAAAGGAAATTTTGTTGTCTTTTTTAGTATTACTAACCTGGCTAGGAATTGTATGTGATAGAATTTCAAATAAAATAGCCAGTCTCAGGTGGTGCCTGTGGCTCAAAGGGGTAGAGCGTCAGCCCCATATGCCAGAGGTAGCTGGTTCAAACCCAGCCCCAGCAAAAAAAAAAAAAAAAAAAGCCAATCTCCTGGCATAAAGTAAGGCTAAAAAAGTTAGCACCTTGTTTAAAATACAAATTTATATTAAAAAAGAGAAAATAAAAAAGCAAAAGTCTTAAGAAACGTGGAAAGGCCACAGTTTTGGTTGAGTCTTCCATAGAGATTCTATAATGATTACATTCATTTGGCCAGGACTTGAAGAAGCCCTATGATAGTGGGTTGGGCTACAGAAATGACTTCATTATTTGAAACAGATAGTGTGATAAAGCCAAATGATGCCCATCAAAACGTTTTAATAAAACGTAAATATAATAATGTCATATAATCAAAGTTTCTTATTGAAAAAAAGCGAATGAATTTTGTCCTGAATTATAAAGACGTCTTGTTAAACAACTAAATTAAGTTGAACTAAGTCAACAACAGAGCAAAATAGAGTATTGTACATAAAAGCATTTAATTCCTTTTTGGGGAGGAAGGAGGTGGTGACTGAGTCAACCAAACCAAAGCAGGTATCTTTCTGTAACCACCGAGGGTGTGCATTAGTGAAGTACAAGCAGATATTATTGTGTTTTTCATTATTTACAAGTAACATTTATATGTTCTCTCAGTTTCACAATGAGAAGCAAAAAGGCAGATAACTGTTTTTACTTTACCAAAGAGGAAACTGTAGGTTACACTTGTGAGTCTAAGATCTCATGACTAGTCGATAATACTGAGAATAGCAATCCTTGCAATTTTTCTTTTATTTCCTCTCCAGAAGTAATATTTCAGCTAACTTTTCTTTTGAAACAAAAATGCAAGATTTTATTTTCACTATCATTCCTTAGGAAATCTTTTCTTCTGATAGCTTTGGTGCCAAGGGCTATGTAATATTGTATTCATTTTTAATTTACACAGTGATTTCAGTAAATTTTTATAACTTAAAGTCCAACTAACTTATAGCTAAAGTATGAGGGAACTTCCCTTTTTTTTTTTTTTTTTAAGAGATGGGCATTGTAAGCCTGCTAAACAAACAAACAAAAAATAGCTGGGCGTTGTGGTGGGCACCTGTGGTCCCAGCTACTTGGGAGGCTGAGGCAAGAGATTGAGACTCTGTCTCAAAAAGACAAACAAACAAACTCCCCCCCCCCCAAAAAAAAACACTATCTCTACCAGAAACTAGGAATTCTTTTCTTTTCTTTTTTATATACTTTTTGAGACAGAGTCTCACCATGTCACCCTCTGCAGAGTGCTGTAGTGTTACAGTTCACAGCAACCTCCAACTCCTGGGGTTAGGCAATTCTCTTGCCTCAGCCTCCCAAGTAGCTGGGACTACAGGTGCCCGCCACAATGCCTGGCTATTTTTTCTATTTTTTTGCAGTTGTCATTGTTGTTTTAGCTGGCTCAGGCTGGGCTCAAATCCACCAGCCTTGTATGTGGCCTGTGCCCTACCCACTGAGCTACGGGCACCATCATTGTTTCCTAAATTTCTACACAGAAGTTGCAAATCATTTTTCTTCAAACTAAATTCTATCTCACACAGTAATCTGTCAACATGCTAACTGGTTTGCCTTTTTGCCTTTTTCATTTTTATTTTTTTTAATTGTCAAGGTTAGGAAAAAGGTTTTGAGACCAAAGGCAATTTTACCAACAGGCCCAAAAAGAACATCTTGTAAAGTCTAAGATCTCAAGGATATAAACTGGACTATGGCTGTTGGGTGAAGCTGCTGCCCTATCTTATAGACATTTTCTCTCACCCACCTATGCATAGTCCTAATGATATACATGTCCATGTACATTAAAATCTACAAATCCATGCCAAGCATTGAGGTTTAGCTACAGAGATGTTGGGGCTCTGTAATTTTGTACCTTTTAAACTTTAAAAGAGTAGGTATGAAATAAAATAATAGCACGGTGAGTAGAAAGGAGGATCGTATTTCTATCCATTGATTTTAATACACTGTATTGTTCTTTTAGGATTGCAAATTTTTTAAGGTTTCAAAGTTTGTATGCCTCATTTTATGATTACTTACTGAAAAACTGTTTCACAATTTACTTCCAGTAAAGTTGCTACAGGACAAAGAGAGTCTGGCCACCTGTCACTGCCAGCCAATAGGTCTACCAAACTTTGTCAGAAGGCCAGCAATTCTGGAGAACGTTGGGAAGAACAGTGAGAGTAGCTGCTCCAAGACTGTTCTGCTCTTCCATTTCCAAAATCACAGTTTTTGGTTTTTTGGTTGAGACAGTCTGACTCTGTTGCCCTGGGTACAGTGCTATGGAGTCATTGTAACTCACAGCAACCTAAACTCTTGGGTTTGCACAATCCGCTTGCTTAGGATGACCAGACGTCCTGCTTTTGGCTGGACAGTCCTGATTTTTAACAATTTGTCCTGCGGCGTTTTAAAAAAGTTCCGATTTTTGGAAAGAATGCACAAATAGGGGAAGAACAGTAAGGGAATATACGATTTTCGGCTGCCATGTGGCTATTTCGCCAGGATATGAGTTTTATATTATTTTTGTTAATGTTATAATGTTAAACTGTAATAATAACAAATAATTGTTGAGAAGTGATTATCGAGAACTGCTTATCAAAGTTTGCATTGTTGTCAGGCCCGCCCTGCCCCGTCCCGCACCGCCCCCACCCCCCCAGGGGTGTCCCACTTTACCAATGTTAAAATCTGGTCACCTTACTCTTGCCTCAGTCTCCTGGGTAACTGAAACTCCAGGCAGCAGCCAGAACAGCTACAAAATCACAGTTTTTTTTTTTTTTTGCCGGGGTTGGGTTTGAACCTGCCACCTCCAGCATATGGGGCTGGCACCCTACCCTTCTGAGCCATAGCCACTACCCCACAGTTTTATATATAAAAGTTAAAAGCAAGAACTAGTACTAACCCTTGTCTTAACAATAAATATCTTTGATGACAGTAATTGCCATAACCCAGGACCCATAATAAACAATAATTGACATAACCCATGACACAAACAACATTTTTAATTCAAAAGTTAATCTCCTAAATCAATTGTCCTAAACTACTCAAGGTTTACTCTTTCCGGTTAAAGCTGAATTTACAAAACAAGAAGACTGGGACACATGAGGTAAATGTCACTTAGAACTAAACTACCCAGACCAGCTGGGTCCTGTCAGCCCTGGCCTCCATCTTGGTCTCACTATATATACTTTCAAAGTGTACTGAAGCTGAAAAAAATGAAGTGAAAATAGCTATTTCTGCAGTGTGTCCTTTTCTTATCTTTAAAACGTTTGGACTGGACGTTTGTTATTTTGCTATCCTTAAAGTAGTTCTCTCTCACTAGCTCGCCAATATTTTCCTGTTCCATTTCCTCCCATCCTCTGTAAGTTGGAGAGAGAGAAACTCCAAAGACCTTTTCATCCACCCCTGGGATGCACTTTGGATCTTGTCACTCATTTGAATCACCCCAAAGCTAAGGCAGGACTTGGACAGCCCTGGCAAGACTTGAAACAGAAATAGAGGCTCCTTGATTCTCCTTTCAAAGTCGCTTTTATGAGACATACTTCCCTTAAATTACACAAGATACAAACAGGGGTTTCTTCGATGGGAAGCAAATAACGCCGTACAACATCTTTTACAAGGTTAGTAATTTTGGAAGATACTTTCTTCTCCAAAGGAGTTCCACGCCTTATAAATTTAAATTATTTTTCTTAATGAGACATCAGCATTCTAGTAAATGTTAAGAGGAACACAGAACATAACACCCAATGCAGTTTGGGGATGTGGACTTCTTTGCCATTCTAAGTACCTGCAAATATTACTTGGAAGAGTAAAATCAACCGCCTCAATGATTTCCGCATATCTCTAGAATGCAGGGAGCAGGATTCTAAGACATATTCTAACTTAATTATAAAACAACAAAACCAATACTTGGTTCGCAAACATCACCATCAAGTAGGGTGACCAGACGTCCCGCTTTTTAACAATTTGTCCCGCGTCCAGCGGAGTTTTAAAAAAGTCCTGATTTTTGGAAAGAATGCACGAACTGGCCGGAGAACAGGAAGGGAATATACGGTTTTCCGCTGCCATGTGGCTATTTTGCTAGAATATGAGTTTTATATTATTTTTGTTAATTTTATAATGTTAAACTGTAATAATAACAAACAATTGTTGAGAAGTGATTATGGAGAACTGCTTATCAAAGTTTGCATTGTTGTCGGGCTCTGCCCTGTCTTGTCCCCGCCCCGCCCCCGGCCATGTTGTCCCGCTTTACAAATGTTAAAATCTGGTCACCCTACCATCAAGCCTTGTGAAAACACAAATTGCTGGGCTCCAGCCCCAGTTTCTAATTCAATAGATCCGGTGTGGGGCCCGGGTATTTGCATTTCAGAGTTCCCAAGTGGTGCTGATGCTGCTGGTCCTGAGTCTACAGAGGGCGGTCCGCTGCGCTATCCCAAATTTCTGCCGGTCTTGTCCAGATCCTGACACCTGAGCGTTCTCTGCATCACTTCCCGCTGAAGAACCCTACTAAATTTAGGGCCCGGGGGGTTAGGAAAGGTGATCTGATGGGGTTGGCCCAGGAACATTCCTTCCCAGGCCGGTTACAGACGCTAAGAAACAGAAGGCTGACGGTCGCTATGTAGCAGCCCAGGTCCCGCGAGCAGGCTCGCGCCGCGCCCGCCCTCGCCGGTGATAGGCTGGGCGTCCACCCCACGTCGCTTTTCCGTCTCCTCCCCGCCCCGCGGGCCTGACAGTCCCAGCGCACCGCGGGACCGCCCGAACCCCTGGGCGCTCCGGCTCGCCATGGTGCCGCTGGTTGCGCTGGTCTGCTGTCTGCTGTCTGCCTGCTGCGGCCGCCCCAGCCTCGCGCTGCCCCTGGAGCCCAGCGGCTGGGGGCGCCCTCCGGCGGTGGGTGAGTCTTTCGCGACCTTGACCTCCCGGCAGAGGCTGGGGGTGCTGGGCAGCAGCGTCCGCGCGAAATTGGGGAAAGTGTGCGGCGATCGCGGCGCGTCCCGGCCGCGGCCCGGCCAACTAGGCCCGTGGCCGGCGGGCTGCTGGGCTCCGGGAGCGCGAGGGACCGGAGAGACCGAGGACCGGGTGGCCCCTGTGCTGGGGAAACGCCCGCGCGGGTTGTGGCGCTCGGAAGGCGGGCTTCCGCCCGCGGGACATTTGTTTACACCCTGCGCCCGGTGTTCTGCTCTGCGGGGACGGTAGGAAAAGCTGAAGGTTTCACGGGACAAGGAAGCTGGGAGCTGGATGTCACCCAGCTGCCCGGGATCTACCCGGAGCCGAGCGCGACCGCGAGTTTCCTTTTCACTTCAGGCGTGTCAGTTTCAGTCCCACTAGGGACATCGTCTGTCCTCCTTTACTGAGGGGCTTTTTCTGCCGTCCCCCAACCACAGAGCGAAAACACCCTTAGTGCTGCACACCCCTTGGTCTACCATAGACCTCATCGGGTCTTCATTCCATCTGACGACCCACTTGGCTCCCTGCGGGCGGGACACACAAACCCAGAACCTCTTTACAGCGGTGGTTCTCAAAGTGGAGCCTGGCACTCACAGCAGCTCAGCAGCACCTAAGCCTGTTAGAATTGCAGATACTCAGCCCCGCCCCGGACCCGTGAATCTAAAACTCGGAAGAACGTTGTGCAAACTCTCCAGGTGATTTTGACAGACGCTAAAAATCCCTGGCTCAGAATAGGTAAATATTTGACGGACTGTACAATGCCATCTGAGCCCTCAGTTTTAAAAATCAAGGTGCTCCCACCTCCCTGACTTCCTTTAAAAATAATTGCTCTGTTAGAGGAAAAATAAAATGAGAGAAGCGGAGAGCTGTTTTGTTTGGGGGGAGCTGTCCCTGAGACACAGGAGCGTTCAGTGCTGAAACCTCTCACAGGACTTCCCGCATGCTCTGGGTCTAGGCAAATGTCTTCTTTTACTCCGAATGCCAAGTCTTTATTATTCAGCTGTCAGGCAGGCTGAAACCACTGGTGTCCCAACTGTGGCATATGTCAGTCATACCGAGATACTGCCCCAAAATGTTGATGTGTGCTGGTTTCTGTGTTTATTTAAGCTGGAGTTGTTTTCCTTTAACTCATGACTATTTTGAGATTAAATTGCTCAGGTTGCATGAGGCCAACCAGTGGCAAATTCACCTTTTGGATTTGAGGATCTGACAGCTGAGGCACTCCATGAACACTTTTTGTTTGTTTGTTTGTTTTGGTTTTTTCTTTTTTGTTTGTTTGTTTGTTTTCACTTTATTGCCCTGGATAGAGTGCTGTAACATCACGGCTCACAGCAACCTCCAACATATGGGCTTAGGCGATTCTCTTGCCTCAGTCTCCCAAGTAGCTGGGACTACAGGCGCCCGCCACAACGCCCGGGTATTTTTTTGTTGCAGTTTGGCCGGGGCCGGGTTTGAACCCACCACCCTCGGTATATGGGGCCGACATCCTACTCCTTGAGCCCCAGGCGCCACCCTCTCAATGAACACTTTTGGGGGGGGCTACGTGAATCTCCACACTCGTTTTTTGGTAGGTTCAATCGCCTCCTAGTGGAGAGGGCAGGAAGTGGTAACCAGAGTTCAAAGTCTTGAAGAGCTGACTGACCACTTAGAGGGTTCACACTGTGTGTGGTATTCCACATGTTTGCCACTTGATTTGACCATTCCCACCCCCTCCTTCCAGCCCCAAATGCCTTTTCAACATCCAGCAGGCCTGGCCTTGCTTGGCTTGTTTGTGCGTTTAAATTTCTAGTCTCTGCTTTCTTCCCTGTCAAATCCTGGGACTCAGGGGACAACAACCCCAAGAAGCTTCATGTGTGTGAAGTTCTTTAGATGTAGTAGGCTGGGACCTGCTGGAGTGTTTGGTACGCAGGAACCGACATGGTAAACAAATTAACAAACACCTATATAAACAACAAACGTACATCCTCACATCTGAACCGTGCTTCATAGGCCCTTTAGGATAAATGAGAATATTTTCTTTGACTTAAAGATTTTCTGCTAAAATTTCATCTAGATGTGTTGAACACACACACACCTGCACCCACAGATTTCTGGAAATTTGTGGTCTGCAGTAACAAGAAAGTAATTGTGATGTAGTGAAAAGAACTCTGGACTCTGAACCAGGGAACCTGGATTGGAATGTGGGTTCTGCCACAGGCCAGGTTAGTGGCCTTGGAAACACGAACATGTGCACACACACACACGCGGGTATAGGATTTTGTATACAATTCCATTAGAGGTAGGAAGTGAGGCCTCCTGAGGTTCATTCATAAATCCCAGTTAAGAACCTGTCCACGCTCTGGTCTTGGCTTCTATTTAAAGATACCTTTCAGTGAACCTAAATAATTACCTCCTCATTTTTCTGTCTGGCAATTCTATGTAGTAGAAAGAGCTTTAGACTGGAAGTCTGGCAAGACTGGTTCCAGGTAAGCTTTCATTACTGACTCATTGTTCCTCATTGAGGAAATGTTGAAACTTGCCTTTACCTAAATGTCATTATTTAAAAACCCTGTCTCCAAAATTCTCAGGAAGGCAGATTTGAGAAACTCTTTCTACTGTGAGGAATAAACTCTTTCTTGCTGTAAACCCTGCTGTCTTAGATTATTGGTTTCCTCTTGGGAAGCAGGCAGACAACCTAGGTGAGCAGCAACATAGTCAAAGAATATGTGTTGAAGGCCTGTTGCAAGTGAGGTGTATTCTAGATGCTGGGGATACATGAATACAAGTATTAGATTACATCAGAGGGATATGCCTTTAATACAGTACAAGTTGTGGCTAAAAATGGATTACAATCGAACTGTTTTATTTTATTTTATTTTTTTTGAGACAGAGTCTCACTCTTTTGTCCTAGGGAGGTGCTGTGGCATCATAATAGCAACATCAAACTCCTGGGCTCAAGTGATCCTCTTGTCTCAGCCTCTTGAGTAGCTAGGACTATAGGTGCCTGCCATAATGCCAGGCTAGTTTTTCTATTTTTGGTAGAGACAGGGTCTTGCTCTTGCTGAGGCTGGTCTCCAACTCTTAAACTAAGGTAATCCATCTGTTTTGGCCTCTCAGAGTGCTAGGCTTGCAGGAGTGAGCCACTACGCCCGGGCCTATAATCTAATTTCTTAATCTTCACAGTAACTTGTTTGTGGAAGTTGTCATCTGTTTCCACGTGAGGCAAGTGGGACTGAGGCTATTTGAATGTCAACACACACAGAGGCAGTGTAAACAGCTGAGGGCAATACTCGGGTTGCCAGACTTCCTCAATTCATATTTTAGCCCTGTTGCAGATGATATATGCGACTCGAGCTTAATCTCTGTGCCCTTCAGCTCCTTATCTGTAAAATGAAAACACTTACAAGTTAGCACATGTAAAGCATAAAAAACAGTACTAAACATGTAAGTGCTAATGAATTTTAAGTATTACTTAGAAATAGGGAATTTCAAATTCAAGATTTAGAGTTAAAGAACAGTAACGGTAAAACTAACACTGAGCTTATTTGGTGCCACACACTTTCTAAGGATTTTAATTCTTCTAAGTCACTTACCCCTGACGTTAGGCGCTACTCTTATTCCCACTGTACAAATGAAACTGGTCAAGATCACGCAGCGAGGTTAGTAGGTCATACAGCTTGGACTGGAAGCCAACCAGTCTGGTTCAGCAGTCTCTACTCTCAACAGCTGCCCTGTGCTTATTAACAAACCCATAAAGGGTTTTCTCCCCAGAGACGCAGTCGCCTGCCATACAGAAAGCCAATTACTGAGATAAGGATTGCTAAGGAAAAAAGGTAATTTATGGTGGAGGACAGCACAGGGAGATGGGAGGACTGCCTCAAATCCCCCTCTCCGACTGATAGGGACAGGCAGGATTTTTTTCTAGAGATGAAATGAGTAGAGCCTGAAGTGAGTCGGCATCGACACATGTTTGGGGTGAAGTGGGAGGGACGCCAGGACAGTGAGAAGTCCTACTGGCACGTACATCCCATGGTCAAAGGTGATGGCTAAGCCCCCGCTGGGTGGGGATTTTCATAGTATAAAGAGCTAGGGGGCAGTATCAGTCATTCTTTTCATCCTGTGCGCATGCGGGTGGTGGGAGTGGGTTGCTCAGCAGGGCCTGGAGGAGGATTTGTGGCGAAATGCTGCTTATCTTGACTTCACTGAGCTATGGGGGAGTGGAAGGCCCTGTGATCATCTTCTCAATGCAAGGAGGGCCCACCATTTCTGAAAAATAACTCAGAAGGGGGGATCAGTGAAAAAGAAAATTACAAAGTCCTGGTCAGCTCATCTTACTGCCCAGGGAACTGGAAACATGAGAGAACTGTGACAAGGTGTTTTTACTCCTGGAGCTGGTTACAGGCTGGCCTGTGCAGTTCACTATACCATAACATTCCACAAAACAAACAAAAAAATCCTGATTACATTAAAATGAGTTGCATTATCTACTTACAGCCCGAGGAAAGGCATCTTCCAGGGCAGCAGTCCCCAACATTTTTGGTACCATGGACCAGTTTTATGGAAGAAAAATTTTCCACAGACTGGGGTGAGGAAGGGATGGTTTTGATGAGTCTGCAAGCAGCTGATTTCTTGTGGTCTCTGTGCAGCCAAACTTCTAATGATAATCTGTATTTGCAGCCACTCCCCAGTGCTAGCTAGCATCACCGCCTTGCCTCCACCTCGTGTCATCAGGCATTAGATTCTCATAATGAGGGCACAACCTCCACCCCTTTCAGTCCCAGTTTGGAGCAGGGGTTGTGCACATATCAAATGCTGTCTTTCACTGATCCCCTCCCTTCTGAGTTGTTTTTCAGAATCTAATGCTGTCACTCATCTGACAGGAGGCGGAGCTTAGGTTCCTATGTGCGTGAGGGGGAGGGGCTCTAAATACAGATGAAACTTCTCTCACCTGCCACCTCCTGCTGTGCAGCCCAGTTCTTAACAGGCCTCCGGTCTGGTACCCCTCCACAGCCCAGGGGTTGGGGACTGCAGATCTAGGACGATTCTCAGCTATTGGCCGTCCCTACATTGTGGGCTAGAGAAGTTTCTCTAAGCTGAAAATAAATATTTTCTATATTGTGGAATAAAATAAATTACTCTTTGCAGATTTCTTTTTAATTTTTGGTTTTTTTAAGACAGAGTCTCATTTTGTCACCCTGTGTAGAGTGTGGTGGTGTCATAGGTCACAGTTACCAACTTCAAACTCTTGCCATAGCCTCCTGAGTAGCTGAGACTATAGGTGCCCACCATGATGCCCAGCTAGTTTTTCTATGTTTAGTAGAGATGGGATCTCACTTTTGCTCAGATTGGTCCTGAGCTCAAGCAATCTGCCTACTTCAGCCTTCCAGAGTGCTAGAATTATAGGTGTGAGCCACTGTATCCGGCCACTCTTGGCAGAGATTTTCAAATGGTGACTAAGTGCTAAGTCATTGGCCATAAAGACTATTTTAAGTCTACTTTTTTTCTGACTCTTTTGTGCACCGTTTTTTATTTGTTAACTTAAATGTGTTATAGAATTATTACATGACAGTGTTGGAGAGAAACAACAACCAAAGAGACTCACTTTTTCCACCTGAACAAATCAACCATTTTCAGGTTATTATGGTTTTTCCCCAATTTTATCAACTTTGTATAGATAAAAGTTTGCATTCTACTTATTTTTGCAATGCTTCTGGTGTAGTATGTCTTGATGATTTGCCACTTCTGACGTGTGTAATGGTGTAAGCTAGTCATAATCAGAGTGAACCCCCAAAGTCAAAGCGTGAAAAAAACTCAATATTAAATAAAATGGTTTATGAGAAGGCAGCAAAATCATTGACTATGTCTGTAAATTATGTCTAAGCGAAGTTGGGGGCCCTTCCAAGTGGGGGGGGGGTGTTTAGATTTATTAGCTGTGTATATTTGAGCAAATTTCCTAATTGATCTGGCATTAGTTTCTCAACTCTAAAATGAGAACCCTGATTCCTATTTCAGAGAGTAGTTCTGAGAATGAAATGATCTAGTATATTTAAAATGCTTATCAGAGTTCCTGATACATGGTAAATACTTCATAAAGAGGGTGTCCCAAAGGTTGCCATACATACATACCTAGGGAAATTGGAAAATTGTAGCTAAATATATGTACCTTTATTTACAAAATATTCTTTATAAAATTTTTACAAAACATTTCTCTATGTGTTGATACGTAAATAAATATAAAATACAATATAATACATAAAAATGAGTCTGTTAATTTTTCCTGTTTATGGTGACTCCTGCTAAGTAACTTTTAGGAACCACTGGGAATTTTTATTTTTGGCTTAAAACTAGTATTAAAGGTTTATGTTCTTTCGATTTATGTTGAGAGGCAAGGAAGGTTGTATAAGAAATGGAGTGATATATAGTGCCTTTTCTGCAGTCCACTCCTGTGAAGCCCTAACAAACTATATATTTCTATGCCAATTTTCTACAAGAAAAAGCTAAACAATTTATACAAGCTTAAATTCTTCCAGGAGATGTGCTATAAAACACAAGATGATATAATCATCCACCTCCTGGGAGAGGACCTCCATATTAGATTATTATGCAAGCCCATCTTCATCACGTACTTTGTTGGGTTGTCTTGCTAGTTCTGAGCTCATCAGTTCTGACACACCTAAGTAGCAAATCCTACTGTTCTTTGAATTCACATTTTCTCACAGGGAAGAGCTGCATGAACTCCAGGCATATGAACATTTAAATTACTAAGGCTTTCTTCCATCTTAGCAGGGCACATCTGTCTCTAGTCTCATTGTCAATATTTGTATGAGAACTGCAAAGTCATAAAAGCAGATCTATCATCATTTTCTTCCTTCTCAACAGGACAATTTTGGCATGTGACAGACTTACACTTAGACCCTACTTACCACATCACGGACGACCACACCAAAGTGTGTTCTTCCTCCAAAGGTGCAAATGCCTCCAATCCTGGCCCTTTTGGAGATGTTCTGTGTGATTCTCCATATCAACTGATTTTGTCAGCATTTGACTTTATTAAAAATTCAGGACAAAAAGCATCTTTCATGATATGGACAGGGTAAGTGACTATGGAAACATAATTATTAACAGTTACTCAGTACTTATCCAAGGGATCCTTGGCTTCACTGGAATTCTGAATTCCCAAAGAAGATTTATTATGTGTCACAAGAGATATTTGGGTTAAAAATACCAGGCCAAATTAATCAACATTATTAGAGACAAGAACAGTTTTAGAAGTCCCGGTATTAGGCTTTAGGGAAGTGTTAGTGTTAACAAAGAGAGTAATCCGTAGACAAGAGATTGGTACCAATGGCTTAAAGTGTTTATGTTATACACCAAATAGGTCTCGATTTAAAGGCAAAGGTAACAGTGGGAGTTAACCCACTTTAATATTGTAAAGCATCATCCTCAGGTGGTGTAACTAGTTCCACGCATCATAATAAAGAGGCCTGTGCTTCTTGCAGCTGGAATCATGGCCATGGCTAATACTTGCAGAATGTTTACTTTGTGCTGACCACTGTTTTAATTTATTTATACATGGTAACTTACTTAATCTGTACAATAGGCACATACTTATTATTATTCTGACTTTACAGATGATAAAATGAAGGCCTTGAGTATCTAAGTAACTTACCTAAATGTATGCAGCTAGTAATTGGCCAAATGAGAATTTGAATACAGGCAGTTTTGCTCTAGAATCTGTGCCTTTAAGTACTATAGGTTTTTTTGTTTGTTTGTTTTAGTTTTTTTCTTTCTTTCTTTTTTTTTTTTTTTTCCTCTCATACATTTTCAGTCTGGCAGTGAAATGGACTGGGATTTCCAGTGTACTTTCTGTATTACATTTGTGTTAATTATCTGTTTGATAGGATTTTCTGTGGGAAGAAGCAGGTAAAGACTAGGATATGAACTGTTTAGCTGTTATCTGCCATTTTTAAGTGAAAGTCTCTAATGATAGGTAGAGTCAGGTATAAGGCATAAGGTTAGTGCCTTTTATGAAAACTGATTTTGTTCTTTGTGATTCTGTCTTTTCTTCAGGGATAGCCCACCTCATGTTCCGGTAACTGAACTCTCAACAGAAATTGTTATAAATGTGCTTACCAATCTGACAACCACCATTCAGAGCCTCTTCCCAAATCTCCAGGTTTTCCCTGCACTCGGCAATCATGACTACTGGCCAGAGGTAAATTTGACATCAGCTTCCAGAAGTGCTTAAAGGATTTTTCTTATCAGTATCTCAAGATTTAACAACAGCCCTTGCTAAGGTGTAGTAATGGGTCTCCTGGAGGTAGGTAGACTGTGGGGTTGATGTTAGCCATTCAGGAAAGTGAAGACTCCCTGTGCCACAACACCTCCTTAATTTTAGTAGATATGGGGTTCATTCTTGCTCAGGCTGGTCTCAAATTCCTGAGCACAAGCAATCCTCCCACCTCAGCCTCCAGAGTGCTAGGATTATAGGTGTGAGCCACAATGTCTTGCCTAAAAAGATTCTTTTAATAATTCATAAAAAAAACTCACTACTGAGTTTTCAGAAATTACTCAGTTTGTAGGTTATTATTTCCTGTTTTCCTTCATAATCTTTTTCAGTTTCCTCTTTCTTTTCAATAATGTTCTTATTCATTTGCATTGCTATGACAGGGTTATGCAAGGAAGGTCAATGTTGACAAACATTTATATTTTTATAATTTCTGTCAGACGTATCAAGATTTGTATACTCTGATCTAAGCTAGATTGTGATTAAAGCAACAACTTAACAAACTGCCATAAGGGCCAACAGAGGAGGTCCCTGTTCAAGTTCTGCTTATCTAATTAAGATATGATTGAAGGCAGAGAGTATTCAGAATATTTAATGCCTAATGTTGCCCTGGCTCCATGTAGAGTGGTTAGTTAACAAAAACCTATGTATGAAAGGCAAATACCAGTCCTGGTTACAGGGGCCTGCTATAGTACCATAGAATCTTAGATTCGTGTATGTTCGAGCAGTCCCAGACATTGTTGTTTATTAAGGCTTGATAAACTGTTGCCTGTGATTCACATTCAACCTGCTGGCTGTTTTATAAATAAAGTTTTATTGGAACATAGCTATATTTCCATTCATTCCATATTGTATCGGCAGCTTTTGTGTGACAATGACAGGGTAGAGTAGGTGCAATGGAAACTATATGGCCTATAGGTTTAAAAATTATATTCTCTTACCCTTTATAAAAAAGTTTGCTGATCCCTGGTGTACACCAACTTTTCATTTTATAGATGAGAAAACTGAGGTCCAGAAATGTTAAGTGTTTGTCTAAGTGTTCCTAATTGCTTAATGGAAGGGCCCCTGTTCCAGATCTTTCCCCCCAGACCTGCATTCAGTTACACCAGCACACTTTCATTAAATCCCTTCTTCTTGCTTGATATACTTAACATTTTCCAAACATAATAATTACTTTTATGCCTCTCTTTGTCCACGTTTTTCTCTTTGCTTGGAATATCTTTTTCCATCTCACATCAAAAGGATGATCAAAGGGGGGTTTTGATTATTTTAGCTACACTAACCTGAATTCAGTGATTTTGGAAAGTTATACTAGCATCTTCAGGTGAGTCTTCATGAGTAAACCTCTCAAACAATGGTCAAGTGTTCCTGTTGAGATGTTAGACCACACAGTGCAGAGCTGGAGGACAAACGAGCTCCGGGACCCTCAAGTTATCCACATTGTTTATATTTCCTTATGTGACAGGCAAACTGGGATAGTGGAAAACTTGTGGGGTTTACAATCATAGTCACTGGAACATAAATCCAAACCTGCCCTGTTTCTGACAGGTTGGCCAACTTGGGTGATTCACTTATTAACTCTGATCCGTAGGTCACTCATTTGTAACTAGGAGCAATAATAATTGGGACATAGAAAGCCCTCAGTAAGTGGGTTGCTGCTTATTGTACCATTAAGAAGTGATAGAGGATATACTTTTCTGATTCCTTTAAGGGTTTATTTCATTTTACCTTTATCTGTCTTCTTTTTGCCAAGTCAAATCTTACAGTATTCCAAACATACAGATACCATCTCACTTCTATAACATATCCTGTTATACATACAGCCAGAGTTAAATCTTACAGTATTCCAAACATACAGATACCATCTCACTTCTATAACATATCCTGTTATACATACAGCCAGAGTAAATTGGGCAGTCTGTGTACCTTTAATAGTTAACTTTTTTCTTTTTCTACCTTATAATCGTTTATTAGAAAATCTCCTTTCTACTAGTTTACTGCCATCCTTCCACTACACAGTTTTGGGAATGTCAAGTGTAACGTGAAAGCTGCACAATAACTTCTCCCAGACGTTGATATTTGAGATCTAAGTTTGAGAACATTAGGAACAAATACATTTGATAAGTGCTGTTTTTCCCTTTATGCGCCATGTACATGCACCATAGGTCTGTAAACATATGCGCACAGATGTGAGTCCCCACCCTACACCAGAAGTAGCTATTAGTGTGGGCAGCCCAGGTATTCCTTCCTGTTGCCACCCATGGAAGCCATCTGGGCCAGGGTCCCCATTTACTCCTACACTGGCCAGACTGGTGCCACCAAGTTTATGAGAGGGTCATTTCCCATTACGCCTGATTTCTCAGCAGTGGTCATGTTATAGCCAAAAAGATTGAGAGGCACATGGTGCAGTGGACAGTTGGATAAGGGAGTGATCATGGACTTAGATCCAGCTCTGAGACTGTCCAACTATGCCTGAATAAGTAAGTGGCTTAACTTCTTTGGTGCTTATTTTTCATATTTAACACAGAGAAGAAAGTCTAGAGTGATTTTTATGTCATTTTAAGATTCTGCATCACCATGCTATACTTTGGCGTCCATCCCACAGTAAACAAAGAGCCAAGACTTTGTGACTTTTCATTATGAAGATTAATGATAATGGTGATGACAACAATGACGATCTTACCAATTTTTAATCTGAATCCAGATGGGCTCAGCTGTTGTATAATCCTTAGTCATGTAACCCTGGTCTATGATATGAGCTGTGAGTATATTTTGAGTAGTCAGTTCCAACTAATTGAAGCCATTTGGTTATTACTTGCCCCGAATGTATCTATCTTTTTGAGTATTGGGCATATGTCGTAAGAACTAATGTGGGCATAATCTTGAAAAGTAACTAAGTGTTTTGATGAATACTGGCAAGGAAACTCCTCTCAGAAATAGGCGTATCTTATCAATTACAGAAGGAAATAAGGAAAGTACAGAAGGGGGCTTCAGGTTTTAAATACAGTTTTTAAAAAAAGAAACGATTATCCTATTTCACAGAAGGGGGCTTCAGGTTTTAAATACAGCTTTTTTAAAAAAGAAACGATTATCCTATTTCACAGAAGGGGGCTTCAGGTTTTAAATACAGCTTTTTAAAAAAAGAAATGATTATCCTATTTCACAGAAGGGGGCTTCAGGTTTTAAATACAGCTTTTTAAAAAAAGAAATGATTATCCTATTTCATAAATGATTATCTTATTTCCTATTTCCAGGTTTTTATTCAGTGTTTGCTTTTTTAAATTCTTGCTTATTTTTTTATCTAGAGCTTAGGATGATTGAAGTACCTTAAAGATAGTTTATGATAGTAGAAGTAATGTTTTATGCTTATGATGTGTTATTTAAAAATCAGAACACGTTGATGTAGGCTGCCATAAAAAGACTTGTGCAAACCCAAAGCATGTGGTTGTAAATCTTCATTCAAGGAGTTAAGAAACTTTGTAACAGTTTTGTTTTTCTTTTATTTTTGAGATAGAGTCTCACTTTGTTGCCCTCATTAGAGTGCTGTAGTGTCACAGCTCACAGCAATCTCCAACTCTTGGGCTTAAGTGATTCTCTTGCCTTAGCCTGCCAGGTAGCTGGGACTACAGGCACCCACCACAACACCTGGCTACTTTTTGGTTGTAATTGTCATTGTTTTTTGGCAGGCCTGGGCTGGATTTGAACCTGCCAGCTCTGGCACCGAGCCTTTATAACAGTTTTGACATTTCAGAGGACTTTATAAATTCTAAAGTCATGCCTTTTTCCCATTCCCTGTGCAGGCTACATCAGGCCCTGTAGTTCAGGCTGAAGCCTGCCTTTAGTGTCCCTCTCAGGAGCAACTTAGGGCACACCCTGGCTGTGCTTTGGCACCCCCTTCTGTCTATACCGATGACTGCATGACTCTATCAGTGTTCCTGTCTGCACCATTGCTTTTGTTCGGATGCTCTTTCTTATTAGATGGAGAAAGGCATTGTTGAAGGCCTGGTTCAAATGTTCTCTTCACCTTTTATGCTGATTTTCTGGGCCATACTTGATTGTTCCTAATTCTTCACCTGCAGGACCCCTGTGGTAGCGCCCAGCACCATAGTTCATAGTTCATTGTCTCATAGTTCATTCATGTTTATCCTGCACTCATCAACTAAGTTGTAAATTGCTTAAAGACTAAATCCACCCAGTGTTCACCCTTACATCTCCAGATGCCTCTCATAACAGCCAGCGTTCGAGTAAAGTTTATGTTAACTAACCTGTATGCCTGTAAAGTTTCAGTGGTGAATTTTGTCATTTACGGACAGGATCAACTGCCTGTCGACACCAATGACGTGTACAATGCGGTAGCAAACCTCTGGAAACCGTGGCTGGCTGAAGAAGCGCTTCGTACTCTGAGGGCGGGTAAGCAAGAGACTTCGTTATCCTTCTTTTGCTTTCATTTTTAACCACGTTGTTGAGACTGAACTCTTCAGCGTTTGCTTGTGTGTACACCAGTTCAGGAGGGACAGTTGAGCAGCAGCGACACTGCCCATGACACATGTCATCAACCTGTATATCTTGTAGGGAGCTCTCCTTCACTCTCCATCAGGGCTGTGTGTCCCATGGGAAGCAAAAACTAAACTTTGGATTCGAATGTAAATAAAAGCATATTGTTTCTGTTAGGAAAACTGATTGAGAAGAGAGAATGGCCACTCACTTTGCACTGAGGAGCACAACGGTATAACATAAAGTGCTGGTAGAGTGGGGATAACCAAGCCTTTACCCAGGACTTTGAGGTGCTTAGAAAAGTAATGGTTAATCAGTGCCCAGTGAGGCCTTCCCTGGGTAATGTCTGGGTTCCCTGCTCCAGTGGCTCTCAACCATCATTACGGAAATCCCTGACCCTTCATAATGTTAACTGAGGTACTCAGCGGTTAAACTAAGACTTCGGCGTTTTTAAATTTTTGAGACAAACACAAAGCGAATGGCTGGATTTCTCTCAGTTCAAAGTTTCTCTTTCCCTATTTTTCTCAAAGTTTTGGCTTTGCCACTGTTTTCTTGTTTTTGCTGTCTTTGCTAGCACTCAGCAAATCACAGTATGAATTTGAGATCTGCTATCTTATAATCAGGCCATGGTCCTGATGAATCTTGGGGAGTGTCATTGGTCCTGCACGCTGAAACCTGCAAAACACACAGAGAGTTTGTGACAGTTGAAGGAAGAGCCACAAAGAATGATCGAGATTCCTGAAGCGACACTTAATTCTAAGGAGGCTCAGCTTAAAGCAGAGAAGGGCAGGTAGCGGAAAGATGATAAGTGGAGAGCTGGCCCTAAGACAAGGCAGTATGACTTTCCCATTTATGTCCGTTCCAATGGTATCATCAAACCCTGGAAGACAATATTGAAGTTGAAAGTCTTAAAAGCCTGTCTGTGAAACTCTTAAACACAGAAGTGATTTGGAGCAGGAATGCTCTACATGAAAACCTCGCATTCTGTCATCCCACAGCCTCCAGTGAAAATTGTTCTTATCTCCTACTACTGGGACCTAAACGGCAGCTTTTCAAAAATAACTTCCAGTGAATTCAAACCTATCTGCCCTACTACTATTACAGTAAAAATCATAAGGTATTATGATCACGAGGAATAATGAAAGAGAATAAAGAGGCAGTGACCAGCCATGATTGAAGGCCAAGGATACTGAGTGGCTCAGAACAACAAAAGCCAGGCCAAGATCTCAATGACCAGCTCTGAAAGTGTCCTTGCAGTGGGCCCCAGGGTGTCCCCTCCACACTGGCTCATAGTGGGAGTGCAGGGATGCCGCCCAGGCTCTTCTCCAGGAAGATCTCAGCAGCTCTGGTCTAGCTGATCTTCCCTTTTTCAGTGGTCTCCAGCAAAATCCACGTGTGTTCTCATTCTTTGAGTTTTCTATTTCACAATCTTTCCCATCTTAACTCTTCAGTCATTTAAAAATAGGGATTGATTTTTTCTTTTTTTTATAAAATTCAGCCTCATTGCTTACTACTGAAGCATTTAATTATCTTTTCATCTGTATATTCAATACAACTACTGTTACTTCAATATGTAAAAGTGCCAATATTGGCCCTGGAACAAAGTATATTTTCACTATCTGTTAAATCTGATTCTTATCTGATGACAGCATGGTTGGACGATTAAGGTCGTGAGCTCATCCTAGAAAAAATGCCACATACCTCATTGCCGAATCCCACTACTGTCACCTGTACAGATATCTGATGACTATAATGATATTGAGCACTGAGGTATGTAGCACATTTTCCAGGATGAGTTTGTGAACTCCACTGTCAGGCCATGTACAACAACAACTCTGACGGTCGTTTTAGAAAGCATTCCAAGTTTGCTGTGAAGGTAGGTGCTCCTGTTGGTGCATAGCTTCCCAAAGGAAGTACTTTGAGGAAGTACTTTGACCGTAGTGATGTCGGCAGTGATGAGCTATGTCGTGCTTTTCCTAGGATGAGTTCACAAACTTACCTGTCCAACCTCACACCTGCAGACTACACGGCGGGGAATGAATGTGAGCTTCCCGACTGGGTTGTCGGCCTTAGGAGTTACTTTCACAATATCTGCATACACGCGTTTGTGTTTTTCTAAAATGTGTTTCAAATTGTTTTTGTAGGTGGCTTTTATTCTCAGAAAGTGGCAGCTATTCCGAACCTTAGGATTATCAGCCTAAATACAATCTTGTACTACAGCCCAAATATCATGACCCTGGACAAGACTGACCCAGCAAATCAGTTTGAATGGCTGGAAAGTACACTGAACAGCTCTCAGCAAAACAAAGAGCAGGTATATCCCAGAGACCAAAACCCTCAGGGGACAAACAGAGGACTAAATTGTATATTTATTAAGCTTGGGGTGGAGTCAGATATTAATAATAAAATAATTTGAAGCTGTTTCACATGAAACACCTTATGGCTCATCTCTTCTGTTCCTTTTTTTTTTTTTTTTTTTTGTGCTTCGCTTTTACTGCTTTTAGGATTAATAGACACCAACTGAGATAAAAAGAGGCCAATTAAAAAAATTGTGACTAGGGTCCTAGTTACCTTCTATCTCCAGTGTAGTATGAATGAGATAAGTACAAATATTGTGACCTTAATAGCTTCATAATTTTGTCTCTGTTTCTGGTCAAAAATAAGAGAGATGGCATATTTATTTTCTAAATTTGAATTACTGGACTTTCCATCTCCGCTATCCAAATGTCATTTAGTTATGATGGATATTCTCACCTGTCCTCCTTGTGTGTCTCTCTCCAGGTGTACATCATAGCTCACGTCCCAGTGGGGTATTTGCCTCAAGTAAAGAACACCACGGCAATTAGAGAAGCCTATAATGAGAAACTGATAAATATTTTTAGAAAATACAGTGATGTTATCGCAGGACAGTTTTATGGACACACTCACAGAGACAGCATCATGGTTCTTTCGGATACACAAGGTAATTTGATGTTCTGTTTGCATCTCCCCAGTCCAAGAGGCAAGAGCAAGGCAGTGAATATCTAGGGCGTTTGCTGATTCAGTACATTAAAAGTTTCATTAAAGGCCAGTGGCCAGGGCACCGGTCACATACACTGGGGCTGGAGGGTTCCAACCCAGCCTGGGCCTGCCAAACAATGACCAATGGCCAATGACTTCTTGTGTATCAATAATACAAATCCCCCTATATTCTCAAAATTATTTCTTTATAGTTGTAAGAATACATCAGGGATGGCACGTCATTTAGCTATGTCTGTTAATTTCGTAATCTGGAACTTGTTTATATTATTAATATAGTTAAATTCAGTTTTTTAAAAAAGTGTCTTTATGTGCATATGTTTTTTTCAGGAAGTCCAGTAAATTCTTTGTTTGTGGCTCCTGCTGTTACACCGGTGAAGAACGTTAAAGAAAAGCAGACCAATAATCCTGGTGTCAGACTATATCAGTACGATCCTTATAATTATAAATTGCTGGTAAGTTAGCAGATTTCCGAGTTGACCCATATTGATGCATGTCATTGCAGGTTTCATAGTTCAGTTGAATGTTGCTCAGCACAGCTTCATGAGATGGATTTTATATTGAAATCCAAGATGGCCTTCTTCTTATTTGCTCTTGGAATATTTGTCAGAACTTTTTAAGTGTGGGCTGGTGACATTAGCCTTTGGGAGACTAATTTTGTCCTTCTAAGGATTTCACATGTATTTAGATGAAGATTTCATTAAATAGCACCATATTTGAGGATTTGTAAACATATTGAAACTTTTCTGTGAGCTCAGGCAATCCACCCTCCTCCGTCTCCTAGAGTGCTAGGATTACAGGTGTGAACCACCACACCCAGCACCTGCTTCATTTTTAATGACTACAATTTTGAATTAAGCATGTCACATAAATCTTAGTATGGACTCTTATTGTTTTACAATGCTGCATTTGCCAAAAATAAATCAGGCTTTGTTACTGTTTTTAATTACAGGATATGTTGCAGTACTACTTGAACTTGACTGAGGCAAATCTACAGGGCAAGTCCAACTGGAAGCTGGAGTATATCCTGACCCAATCTTATGGAATCAAAGATTTGCAGCCAGAAAGTTTATATGGGTTAGCTAAACAGCTTGCAATCCTAGACAGTAAACAGTTTATAAAATACTACAATTACTACTTTGTGAGCTATGACAGCAGTGTAATTTGTGATGATACATGTAAGGCCTTTCAAATTTGTGCAATTATGAATCTTGATTATACTTCCTATGTAAATTGCCTCAAACAATATTATATAAGTCAAAATCACTAGTATTTCACAGGTCATGTTCATAGAAAATGAAATTGTAACATTGCTCTGTTTCTGAGATAAGTTTGTGGAAATTTTATGTAAATCTTTGTAAATTGCTGAGTTGGCAAACAGAATTCTTATCTTTATTTTTGTGAAGTCTAAATGTAGGTATTTTTAACATTCTAAATTTTTATCATAGTGAATGTATTGAAACTGCCCAATATCAGAATAATGCTTAGATATAAATATCCTATCTTCCTGATTATATAATTATATCTAATTTATACTCTTGTTAAAATTGTGATTTATATAATAAAGACTTCTTACTTAGTATGATTTCTTTTTTTTTTTTTGGTTAGGGCTGGGTTTGAACCCACTACCTCCAGTATAAGGAGATGGCACCCTACTCCTTTGAGCCACAGGCACTGCCCAATCAAGTATTCTTAATATGATCATTTTCAATCTTTTAATTCACTTTTGTTAAAACTCCATGTATAAACTAGGTTAGCATTGAATGCATAATGTTCTCTTGGGAAAATACCAAGGCCTAATTAGGGCTATTGCCAAGTCTATAAAACATCCTGTGTAGCTTTCTTTATTCTATGAGTCTTTGGCACTACTAACTTTTAAGGATGGGAATGTCACAAGTTGTACTTCTTGCAACTTTAGTATGAACAGAAAGCCAGGTTCTCAATCCAGTGCCCTGTACCTAGTAAATAATTGTTGAAAGGAATTGAAAGCTATGAATATTTCTCAAAGAAATATGCTAGCCATGCAGTGGTGCCACTTTCTTTGTCATATTTCAAGAGGGGATAAAAATGAACTTTTGTTCAATGAGATTGTTTTTAGGGCTCTCCAATGGCTAGTTCAAGCTATTTCCTACTTCTAGACAAACTGGGGTAATTAAAGTACAAGGGAGGAGAGGGTGTCTGAGGGAAATAAGGAAAGAGAAGATTGTATTCCTCAATACATTGGCTTCATGGAGAAGAATGTTTAAAAAAAGTTCCTTGTGACACATTTGTTAAAGATAACAAGGCAAACTGTATTCAAGGGAGGCCATGGTAATAGGTGTAGAGACCAGTGCAACAAAATCCTGCAGTGAGGGAGAGAGAGTGGACTCAACTCTGACTGCGGTGAGGCCAAGTGGGGATTTATAACCAAGAAGCAGGGTGAGGGTCATGGATGGACTAGGAGGAAGCATCAAATAGAAGGGGATTTCTAGCCATACCAACACAGTAGCATCATTGCTAAAGGCAGGCCAGCATGATAGAATATTAAGGTGGTCAGATCACAAGGGTGAGGGATTTTTTCTAAACTGATTCAGCATAATTCTTGCTGAGACTGGATCCTGCCAAAACAGAAAGGGAAGCCCATTGTTGGCCTAGTCAACCAGAAACCTGACAGGCCAGATTAAAGTTCTGGTTAAAGACCAAAACATACAACAAGACATACAATCAGCATTCTTAGACTGAGGAGAGTAGAACTCATCATCCTCAAACTGGCTTAGCTTCATATGGTAAAGTGACTTTTAGATGTAAGATCTCATTGTAATGAATTCAAATTATTCCAATCTCTAGAGGGCTGAGAAAATAAATATTATAAAATAAAGATACTGTATCTAAGGAACTTTTAGGTAGATAGCAAGGGACCTCTGAGAACCTCCTGGCGAGAAAATGGGGGCCTTGCTTTGGTGCTGCCTCTAGCAGTTGCCCCATTTGTGAAGCAGGACAAGGGCGGCCCCTTCTTGGTGCTGCCCCACCTTAATCCTGCCCTGAGCAACAGCTACCCCTGGGGAAAGGAGAAACCCCCGCTAATCTGCAGAAGAATGCCTGGGATTCCCCAGCCCCAGGCCAGGTAGCCCAGGCACAGCAGAGTTGGGAAAGTGAACTGGAGTAACCTAGGGCTGATTACTGTGTCATTAACTGTCCTTCAGAGTGATGCCAGTGTGATGTATGAAGCCATGAGGAGGTCTCCATCCATATGCATAAAACTGAACCCCAGACATTACCAGAGCCTTTTTGTTGTGACAAGGGGCTCATTCATCATCTAACCTTTTTCCTCCACAGTAAGTTTTGTTTTATGCTTGCCTTGCTTTTGGCAGGTCTGATCATTCTTCAGCCAAGAATGCACCAAAAACTGACAACACAAAACTGCCAACTCAACAGAACTATCAATATGCATTATAGAAATATTTTTTTCTTTTTGAGTTTAAAAAAATAGTAAGTTTTGGAGGTGAGAATGCCAAAACAAAGCAAAAATGTATTGTTAAAAAATAATATCATTGGGCAGCTCCTGTGGCTTAGTGAGTAGGGCGCCGGCCCCATATACGAGGGTGGGGAGGATCAAATAAAACAAAAATCATATCATTTAGAAATCATCATGCCTGCAGTTGTACTTGAAATTGGTATTTTCAAATGATTATATCATGTATCCCTATAGTAGTTCTAAGAAAACAAGTCTGCACTATATAAAGAACAATTTTAAAACAATGAAAAGCAAGGATGGCGTGAGCTGTCTTGGGAAGTGAGCGCAGGCACCAAAACTGAACAAGCTATTAGGAAGGACTTGCAGGGTTATTTGTGGAGGAAACTCCTACATCTGTGAGGGCATTGGACAGTGAACATTTAGGGTCCATCCTAAATTATTCCAGAGTTTAAAATTTTTAATGGTACCTAGTGTATTCAGTTTATTTTTATCTTAAAATAGAAACAAATGATCTTAAAATCTGAGTGACATTTAGGAACAGTATCAGCAGTTAAATGAATTTTTTTTTTTTTTTTTGAGACAGAGTCTCACTTTATCGCCCTTGGTAGAGTGCCATGTCATTACTGCTCACACCAACCACCAGCTTCTGGGCTTAGATGATTCTCTTGCCACAGCCTCCTGAGTAGCTGGGACTATGGGCGCCCATCACAACACCTGGGTATTTTTTTGTTTCAGTTTGGCTGGGGCCGGGTTTGAACCCGCCACCCTCGGTATATGGGGCTGGCGCCCTACCCACTGAGCCACAGGCACCGCCCTTAAATGAATTTTTTATTCTAATATCAGTGCACATTGTGATTTACTTCAGATTATGTCTAGATACATGATGAATTTTATTAGGCCTGCAGTGAAACTTGTCTTAATTTGCCTAAGTTTATTGATGATGCTTTGATAAGTTTATAAGCTACATCCTACTTAGATTTTTGAAGCTGCTACTTTGAAAACAGTAAGAGTCATACATAAATATCTGTGGTAACATTGTAATAACAATAACAGAAAAATCCAACCCCTAACCCACTTAGATATATATCAGCTGGAGAATGGATTAATGAAATATTGTTAATTCAGAATGTGGAGTATTCAGGAGGCTGAGGTGGGAGTATCCCTTGAGCCCAGGATTTTGAGACCAACTAGCCTGTACAACATGGCAAGACTTTGTCTCATAAAATAATAATAATAATAATGTGGAATAATATACACAGCCTGACAATGAGGTAAAAAAAGTTGCTAAAGGATGCATACAATATAATATCATTTGATGTTGAACTTTAAATATGCAAAATAATATATACCATTTAAAGAAGTAGACCAAAAAGAGATGTATTGGCAGGACAAATACCAAATGCGATGCAGGAGAGTTGGAGAATTGACAGGGGAGGATACAGATGGGGATATAACTGTGTCCTGGCATTTTGATGTTTGCTTTATTTCTCTTCATACATTTAGTATATATTAAATATTATATAATCACTTTTTATAAGGGAAACTGGAGGCCCAGTCATTAAAAATTATGACTTTAGCTCTTCTGGGGAGAAGATGTTATGGCAAAACCATGGAGGTACTGGGAGAGTTTAAGGTAGTCAGGCTCAGGACAGGTGGTAGACGGGCTGAGGAGGTGGCAGCGGAAAGAGGTCCCTCAGTTCATCATATATTTTAGAAGTGGAAGCAGCAGGAGTTGTTGGTGACATGGGTATGCCAGGTGAAATACAGAGAGAAGTAAAGAGTGACTCCTGGAATATTACAGAACACCTGGGGCAGATGGCGGTATCATGGGGAACTGGAAGGGGGCCGATGGGGGAGTAAGGAGGCAGAGGGTCAGCTGAAGAGTCTCATGGTGTGTGATGGCAAACCGGACTACCCAGCCTTCCTCCAGTTCACAAAATGCTTTGCTAGTCTCATGATCTCTAAATTGAGGACTCTAAAGTTTCTTTGTAAAAAATAAATGAGTATACTATGGGAGAAGCCAGAACAACTCAGCCCCAATCTACCACTTTGGTTGTTTCTACTCTGTTTAAACTTGCTAGGAATAAACATGACTGACTTATAGAAGTGGATCATCTGCCCCTTTTTGCTGCTGGTATTGCCTAAACCAGGGGTGGGGAAACTTTCCATGTTGGAAGGCCACATTAATGTATTATAGCCGTAATCAAATGAGGTGGATTCAAGATACCCCATTAGAAATACCTTAAAATGTATATTACTTTGTAAAAATCTAACTACTATGTGCTTAATAATTTCAAAAAAATGAAAACTATTTGTTACTATTAAAGTTAGCTGACCTATTGACGACTATTACATCTGCTTTTTGTTGGAAAGCATTTGAATAGTTGGTTGCAGCACGGAGGTCTGCAGTTTCTGTTGGTCCTCTAGAGGGGTGTCAGTCATTAGTGATTTTAAGGGCATCTGGATCTGGCTTAGGTGGCAGAATGTAGATTTGTAGCAATAAGTGGTTGAAAAGCAAGAAAGCATTTTTTTTCTGGCACGTTGCCAAAGGCTGAGATTTCTACTCTGTTTTTGCATAATTCTACTGGATTTTTCTCAGTATCTTACAATGAATCTCCTATTCCATCAACTGAGAGCTCAATCAGTTCCATCTGCAATTCTTTTTATTTTTTTAAGAATTGTTTATTTTAATTTATTTTGTTTATTTATTTTGAGACAGAGTCTCACTATGTTGCCCTTGGTAGAGTGCTGTAGCGTCACAGCTCACAGCAACCTCCAACTCTTGGGCTTAAATGATTCTCTTGCCTCAGCCTCTGAGTAGCTGGAACTACAGGTATTTATTCATTTTTTTGAGACCAAGTGTCAGTCTGTTGTGCTGGGTAGAGTGCCATGGCATCATCATAGCTCACAACAACCTCAAACTTTTGGGCTCAAGCTATCTGCTTGCCTCAGCCTCATGAGTAACTGGGACTACAGGCCTGAGCCACCACACCCACTAGTTTTTCTA